ATATCCCTTTTTAAGATTCTTTACTTTCTCCAAATCTCCGTTTGTCACTTTCAAATACTAAAGTATCAGTATCATTTAAATATTAGTGGTGGTGCAGACCTTTGATCTCAGCACTCAGGAGGCAGAGGCAGGTGGATCTCTGAGTTTGAGGCCAGCCTGGTCTACAGAGTGAGTTCCAGGGCAATCAGGGCTACACAGAGAAGAAATTCTGTCTTGAAAACAACAACAACAACAAAAAATCCAAAACAAAAACCAGCAACAATCCCCCCCCCCAAAAAAAACACCCAAAAAACCCTAAGTATCTTAAAAGTAACTTAAATATTACGGTGACATTTGGACAAATAAACTTTTTTATTCTAAATTTTTATTGCATTCTATTTATTTACTTATTTGTAGGTAAAGGCACACTTTGCCACCATGGTACACATATAGAGGTCAGAGGACAACTTCAGAGAGTCCCGTCCTTCCACCATATGGGTCCTGGGGATCGAACTCAGATTGTCAGGATTGGCAACAAGTCTCTCTACCCACTGATCCTATTCTTTAACTTTTTAAAAATCATTAACCTGCGGTTTATATCCTCACAGCCATCACGTGTTCCTTTTTAGTCTTCTCCTATTTCTGTGCATTTCACCAGTGGGCAGGACTGCACATGAAGGGATATGTAGGGAAACTGGATTGAACATCAATATTAGCTCTTCTAATTACCGTCCTTTCATGCCTGTAATGTGCAGACAGCCTGATGAAAGCCACAGCCTGGTTTCGGGGCTGCTCGCAGGCACTCAGACTGTGTGCTGCCAACAGTGACATTTTTATTCAATGCTCTCTCCTACTGTGCCCTTCTGCTTTTGCCAAAGGCCGTCCCCTAATAACTAAGGAGGGCTCTCTGTTTTACGGTTGCCAAGTCAAGAAAATATCTGAAGTACAAAATTAAATAGAATTGTTACATGAGGAATTTATTTTAAGGATAACTTAAAGAATTGGATGATTAGGAAAGTCTGATTTCTGTGGCCCAAGAGTCGGAATACATTGGAAACGATTTACTGATATGTGGTTAGTGTAAGACTGAGACCTGTAGCTGATGATTGTGTTGCTACCTGCCTAGGCAGAAGGGTGAATTAGAGCCCTGCATTCAAATAAGCACTTCTTCATAAGTAATGAATAGTTTTGACAAAAAATTATAGAAGACCCTGAGAAGAAATGTGCAAATGGCAATCTAGACGTGAGCTGCTTGTGGGTGTCAAGGAAGATCTGGGGACCAGCTGTTCTGACTTGGAACCTCCCGGGGTTCACACAGAGAACTCTGCAGGGAGGACCTAAGTCCTCTTCAGGATGGTTGAAAAGCAGCACATAGACCAAGAAACCAGATGCCTGGCCACTGACTGGCCACTTTATGACTCAGCCTTCTCCCTCCCCCGATCCCAAAGCTTTCATTTCAACCTAGTGTGGTCAGAGAGAAGGGCAGAGCATGGGGAAACGCTGGACACTGTCACTACCTTTAAGCCGGAAGGGTTAGGGAAAGGGACATGTTCTAGATCTGACAGCATCCCATGGAAGGAGGACTGGGCTCCCTACTCCCACCCCAGTGGGAGGACAGCATCCCACAGAGTCCTACTCTGTGTGTGAGTTACTTTTCTGTTTATTTGGGCTTACAGTTCCAGGGGTATAGTCCATATGGTGGAGGAAGCATTGGCAGCATGTGGCTGGATTAAGAAGCTGAGAGATCACATTTTCAACTACAAACTTAAAGCAGAAAGAGTGAGCTGAAGTGGGGTGAAGCTCTACACTCTCAAGTCCCATCCCCGTGATGTGCTTCCTTCAGCAAGGCTACATCTACCGAGGTTTCCATAGCCACCCTACACTGCACCACTAGCTGGGGGGCCAGGTGTTGAAATACCTGAGCCTATGAGGAGCATTCTCCTCTCTTCTGAGCTCTTACCCTAGTTCTTACTGAGGAAACCACTGATGATGGGAAAATCCCAGTCCATGGGCCACGTCTGGCCACTGCATGTCCGTGTAAATAAAATTTTATTAGAACCATAAGTATTCTCTTTCTCAGAGAAATACTGGGGAAAAAATCATTTCCTTAAGATAAAAATGGACTTTCATGGTACCCTCTCCACCAGTTAAAAAAAAGTTTTAGGCCGTCTCTGAACTTGGCATGTAGCCAAGGATGACCTTGAACTTCTGATCCTCCGGTCTTTCTCCTAGATGATGAGATTATAGACATGTGCCATCACACCTGATTTTAGGTGGTACTTGGGATTGGATTTTTTGATTGTACTGTGGTTTTTTGTTTTGTTTTTTTTGTTTGTTTGTTTGTTTGTTTTTTGTTTTTGCAAGCTAGGCAAGCGCTCTGTCAGATGGGCTACATCTCCTACTCACCTTCCCTGTTTGGGGTTATTAGAGATCCAACCTTCAATGATGCTGGTCAAGTGCTGTGTCACTCAGCTACATATCCAGACCTGTGGCCAACTTTTTTGATTTAATTGAGAGGAGAAAACACACACACACAGACACACAATTTATACATTTACAGCTAGAAAATTTGCATAGTCTGATTTGCCTATGTTAATCAACATACTCTGAAAGAAACAGGGGTTTTGTAATGACAAGGAGTTTCTTTTATCTTGTGAGTGGTTTGAATCTCACACCCAACCTAATTTTTTCCTTGTGAAAGATTCTTGCTAAGGGAAAATGAAGCTGATCTCTTACTCGGAATCATTTGGCTATGATGGGAGAGGGGCCGGCACTGGTGTTTTGCTGCTGCCAAACATGACTGCATAAAGATTTATTAAAAGGGTGTGGCTTGGTTGGGAGTTTAATTTGCATTTTGAATGTGTGAGTTTCAAGGTAAGCGTCAGAGTAAAGGACACCTATTACTCAGCAGTCCACACAGCAGATTTCTGTTGATCTAGGTGAGATCTGACGGCTACTACCCGGAATAAGTGAGGTTGAAAGTGATTTTTAAAAATTACAGTAAGTACATTTCATATTTAAGATGTAGCTTCATAACTGTAAGCTTTCCTTTGCCAGAATTTAAGTGACTTGTTTAGCCAAGTGAAATGGTGGCAAGGAATGTATCTCCTTGTGCTGTCCCCCCCCATACCCTCTTTTGACACCTTTAAACTAAATCTGTCAGTTTCTTGAAAAGCAAGTTTCTTTTATGATACCCCTCTCTCTCTCTTCCTTACCCCTCAGAGCTCACCCTTGCCTGTCTTCTCTCCGAACTTCTCCTGGGTGCAGATGTCCATTTTGTGTTGGGACTTTCAACACACGATTTCTCACAGACCTCTATCCGACCTCCAGGTTATTCCTTAAGTGACTCACATAGACATAGTGATGGGATAGACTGAGAACTGAGTCCATGGTTTTCTGGGATCTGTCTTCCTCTCCTCTCCTCGCTCAACTAGCACACCAGATAGTGAAGAGTTGGGTGATGTTCTTCTCCATTTCTGCGTTCAAGTCACTGGTGCGCTCTCTCTCTCGCTCTCTCTCTCTCTCTCTCTCTCTCTCTCTCTCTCTCTCTCTCTCTCTCTGAGCGTTTCTCAAATCTCCCCTATTTTTTCCCCATCTCCTCTGGCTAAGACAGGTCACCATTCCCTCCCCGAGTTTGCTTTCTTGTCTCATTTTGTTTGTTTCTTCAATTCTCTAAAGGCAAGAAAGTCACCTTCCTAAGGTTTGAAATGGAACCGAGATAAAACTGATGGTTTTACTGTGTCTGAAGGGCGCTTCGTGACTTAGCTTTTGCCGGGCTCCCAGGCTGTTTGGGGCCATTCCCAGCTTGCTCTCTCCTCTTAACCACATCATTTGTCTCTTCTGTCCTGGAGACTACGTTCTTTCCCACCCGGGATCTTCTGCAGAGCTTAGGGTGCTCCTATTTGTTCACCCTCCTTTCCCTCCGTCACTCTCCTCTAAGCAGGTTCCTCTCAGTTCACCGTGAGTTCCCTAGAGACCATTTCCCTGCGTACTTATCTCCCTGTTCTCCTCTGAGCCCTTCCTGGAGAGAGTTCCCTTTATCTCCAGGAACTCTTTCCCCTCCATTCCTGGAAGATAATTTCCTTTATCTAAGGGAGGCCTGCACTCCTTATTTCCAAGCAATCTTCTCTTAGCCAGTTGTTTGTCTCCCTCCTAGCTCCTGTCATGTCCAGTGGCTTGTGGGTTGGCGGGTTTCTTGTGGGGAGAGCAAAGTCTAGAACGTCTAGAATGCCTTTAGTGCCAGAACCGAGCCCGATGTAGCACATATGTTCAAGCCTCACATTAATTTTTTGGATGACTAGAAAACAAAAAGTTGGCCAGGTGTGGTGGTGCATGCTTTTAATCTCTGTACTGGGAGGCAGAGACAGGGGAGTCTCTGTGAGTCCAGGCCAGCCATAGGCTGAGACCTTGTCTCAAAAAGAGGAGGGAAGGAGAAAAAGGAACTTAGGGGGAAAAAGGACATTGTGTGTGTGTGTGTGTGTGTGTGTGTGTGTAGGCATGTGGACTATGGCAAACATGCATGGAGGTCAGAGGTCAACTTTTGGGGAGTCAGGTGTCTTCTGCCGTATAGCTTCTGGGAATTGAACTCAAGTCTTCAGATGGTAACAATCACCTTTACTATGTCATTGGCCCAAAAAACTCTTATGTATTTACAATGTACAGTTTGGGGTTGGAGAGATGGCTCAGTGGTTAAGAGCACTGGGTGTTCTTTTAGAGGACTCAGGTTCAATTCTCACCATCTACAAACAGCTCACAATCATCTGTAATTCCAGTTCCAGGGGATCTGGCAAAACACTCATACCCATAAAATAAATACATCTTAAAAAACTAAGATGCACAGTTTGGATGATGTACATTTTTAAATGAATACATCAGGAATTATAATGGGGGAAATTACGCCATTCAAAAATAGTTTTTAGAAGTATTTGTGGATTAAATCAGAAGAATGTTTCGTCATAAATCATAATGCAAATCTTCCGCTTGGTGTCATCCGAACTATCACGGGCCCTTTTGTGTTGTAGCAGGATGTTTCTCCTGGTGGGAGCCCCGAAAGCAAACACAACGCAGCCTGGGATTGTGGAAGGAGGGCAAGTTCTCAAGTGTGACTGCTCATCGAGCCGCCGGTGCCAGCCCATTGAATTCGATGCCACAGGTAAACTCTGATTTGCCCGCTCTCCCGTGTTCATTCTCTTCATTCACGCCTTTGGTTGGTTGGTTGGTTGGTTTCGGAGACAGGGTCTCACTGTGTATCCTTGGATAGGCTAGAACTCCCTATGTAGACCAGGCTGGTTTTGAACTTATAGAGATCTGCCTGCCTCCATCTTCTGAGAGCAGGGATTAAAGACCACCACACACAGGCTCATTTGTTCCTATTTTTTTGCTCTGTTTTTGTTTTAATGTAACGACAGGGCTGGAGAGATGGCTCAGTGTTTAAGCACACTTGCTGCTCTTGCAGAGGACTGGGTTTCAGCTCCTAGGACCCACTTGGCATCATCATACAATCGTTTGTAGCACCATTTCCAGGGCATCCTCCAAAGGCACCAGTCATGCTGGTGGTACCCACACATGTGTGCAGGCAAAGCACTCACCCACATAAGTAAAAGCAAATACATCTTTTAAAAAGTGACAGCTTAGTAACTTCATCACCCCACATGCACAGGGAGAGTTATCTCTATACGTGATTTGTATGTTTTGCAGCAGTTCTGTGTATCTCCCTTGTTTTGGATATCTTCCAACTTAAACGGACAGTGTCAATATGTAGACATTTTGGGAAAACTCTCTTAAGATAAGTTTATGTCTCTTCTGGGAAGAGGGAGGTCTCAAGAACATCGGAGATTGCTGCTGTTTTTCTTGGAGCCAAATTGAGGCATGACTCACTGACCACTACAGATTACTTCTCATCATGAATGTATCCCAGGCTTGGCGTGATGCAAAAAAAAAAAAAACGAAAAGAAAAGAAAAAAAAAAGGTCGAGGAATCATCTTGAGTATTCAAATAGATTTAAATGGCTAAAAAAAAAAATCAACAAATTTTTATCTAAAATGTATTAGAAAAATTATTGTGTTACTGATAACAGTATAATTTTATTTTTGGAACACATTTCAATGTAAATCAAGGTGGTGGCAGTAAAAAAAGTTAACCTCAGGAAGATGAGAGATAATTCAAATTTTATATTTTTGTCATTGGAATAGAATGTGCAGGCTCCCATATACATTTATGTTCGTATATTCTTATATATTTTTAAAAGTTCAGGGAGAGGCTGGAGAGATGGCTCAGCAGCTAAGAGCACTTGTTACTCTTGTAAGAACTGGGGTTTGGCTCTCAGCACCCACATGGTGGTTAACAACCATCTGTAACTGTAGTTTCAGGGGTTCCTATGCCTTCTTCTGACCTCTGTGGGTATAAGGCACACATGTGGTACATACATATCCATGCAGTCATAACACTGCATGGATATATATATGGATATAGATGAGTGTACAGATCATTCATGTAGCAGGCTAATGTAGTCTGTTACTTCTGCTTCATGTCTGAGCCAGTATTAGTTTCCTATTGCTGATATCATGTTATCTCAATGGTAGTTTCTTTTATTATTGCTGGGAATTGAACTCAGGACCTTGTGTGGGAACAAATGACCACTGAGCTTTCCCTTCAGCCCCCAGATGTCTTTAAACAAGTATTTGTTACCATCACTCCTAGAAGTTAGGTATTTAAAGTGCATTTCACTGGGCCAAAGTCAAGTCAGTGACCCTGCATTTCTTTTGGAGCCAACGGGGTGAGGGGTGGGGAGTTGGGGGGGAGGAGAGAACCAGGAGCTTGGTTCCCCTTTGTTCATCGAAGGCCAGCAGTGTCAACAGGATTCAATGCTGCCTCACTCGACAGATGACTGTCCTGCCTGCCCTTCAATACACCAGACATTTCAAGGTTCTGCAGTTGACCACACCTGCCAAGTCTTTTATGGCATGTGATTTTCCATATTCGTTGGGAAGATTCTGGGAAGTAGGGCATACATCTCTCATGGAGTGGCATTATTCTATTGGCTAGAGTCTCTTTACGTATTTTAAAAATTCATATTGGTTATGCTGAGAGCTGTGTTTATATAAATAGACTTTGCTCCTTCCCAAGTTCAACTGTGGTTATTTGGAATGCAGACGGGACTTAGAAGACAGAGATTCAGGCTGATACTGATGACCTTGGGAAAGGGTTTTCATTTGCTAGTATCAGTTTCCCTGTTGGTCAGAGAAAGCAGGGCTGTCATGTAGATCAGAGGAGTTCATAACTATGACCTCACTTTACAGACAACCAAGCACTTCACAGGGGAAGAATGGATTGTTTATTACAGCCCCTCACTAAACCTGCATAGAGAATAATCATGAAAAGGGACTTAGGAAAAAGGAAAGACATAAAGATAATTGTGGCTGCTAAGTGAATTATGTCTTGGTTTACATTTTAGTCTCTGTTACTGTGAGTTTTGGGGAAACCTTCTCATTGCCAGATGCTTTCCTTTTCCAAGGAAGCAGATGTTGCAAACAGATTGATCACTGCCCAGTTTTATTTAAAAAAAAAAAAAAGAATTATTTCCAGCTGGAAGTGGCCTCATGTGCCTCTTACTCCAGCTCTGTGGTGGGCAAAGACAGGAGGGACCCTGGAGCATGCTGGCTGCCACACCAGCTCCAGGTCCAGTGACAGACTGTCTCAAGGGAAGAAGGCAGAGAGATAAAGGAGACACCCAGTTTTCTGGCCTCTGCATACATGAGCATGGGCGTGTGTATCCACACATCCGAGTGCATATATAACACATGCCTGCCCCCACTTCCCCCTTCCAAAAACACTGGTCTCCACTGGGGAAGCAAGGGGCATGCCTCTTTCCTTGGAAATACAGGCTTGACTGCAAGCTTGAGAATCATGTCTTTTGAAAGCAGAAGAAAGCCCTAACTTCATCCTAGAGAAGATCAGATGGAGGATCCTATTCTTTTTGTCCTGAACATCTTGCTGCTGCAACACTCAAGCTTGTTTCTAGAAGGTTTCAGCTGCAGGCAGTAGACAAGCCTGGCCACGCAGACTCTCATCCAGAAGAATGTTGTGGAGTTATTTCCCCACACATTCCTAGGCATTGCTTTAAATAACATGTAAAACTGGCCTCTGTGTGGAGCACTTTCCAGCTCACTGAGAAGAAAACACTTAGATAGACTCTAAAACATATTCCTGCAAGTTTAACTTCCTCCATTTGGTGAGTTTTTGTCTCTCAGAGGTACGTCCAGATTGAGTAGCCTTATAAATACAAAGTTACAACAAATGAAACATAACCTTCTTTTCCTGGTTGCTACAGCATGAATTTAGACCAAAGTTTTCACCCTTAATGAACATGTATCTCCTGTTAGATTCAATCATCTCCTGGTTCAGAATTGTATGATTGGAGGTCTGATAAGCACCTTTGGAGCAGATAATTTTGTCCAGTTCTTTTTATTAATGATTAACTAACATATAGCTAATAATATTTTATTCAATATCTGCAACATTTGACAAACCAGTTTCACACGATCCCTTTAAATCCTCCTTCTATTCACGGTTTGATCCGACTCATACCCATTCTTCAAGACTGGGGTTGATTTGATTTTTTTTCCTTTGAAATCTCCAGTAAAGAGATTTTGTTTGAAACTGTTTGGAGCTTTCGGATCCCTTCCTCCCCAATACTAGACGGAAACAATCCGGCATTGAGAGAGTAGGGCTGTCCCACAGGCCTTGTTCTTTGTGCTGTTTCCTGCAGAAGCTCCAAGACTGCTGGTGGGATGAAGGGGGAGGGTCTGAGTAACTATAAATAAACAATGCTGGTACCCAGAAAACGAGCTTCAGCCGCTGTCTTCCGGATACGCTTTGCTGACTCCTCTTGTTTACCTTTAGAGGACAGCTGTCTTAGGTAAACAATGTTTCCAGATAGTTCTGTGGAAATTAGTAACAGCTTGCAGCTTTGGGAGGGACACACAGAGGGTATGAGGGAGGGAGGGGACATGCACCTAGCCAGCCAGATCCCCTGGAATCCACCCTGGTGATGAGCAGAGTGACAGATGCCATAGCCACACAGCTCCCACATCTGTGTTTCTCCACCAGCAGAGACCTGTGTCTCATTCACTGTTGCCTTCCTAGCATTTAGACAGAAGGTTTAATGTATGAGCAAAGAGATTTCTTCCTCTGACCTCTAAAGTTTCAATTGAGAGATTTTTCTTTCAACCAGATTTATTTTTAGTAATATCTGAGTTGAAGTGGTATTTAGGGGTGAAAACCTGCTTAAGGAGGTTTTTTAAAGTGTTTGTTTTATTCAAGGATTAATGTGGGATGACATTGTTTTAATAACTTATTCTAGCAAACAAAAATACAACAAATCTCTAACGACCTAAACCATCTCATTATTCATAAATGCCATAGTAAAGAATAGGACCCAAATGACTAAAACCACATTTAACTTCTAAATAAAATTTTAATCTCTTATTTCTTTTAACTATTTCAGCTTTATTTCTGTTTTAAAAAGAGTGGTATAATCTTGTTCTAAAAGATGTTCTTTAGGCATAAAAAGAAGAGACAAAACACTTAGCTTTAGGGTAGCAGTGTATCTTCGTCTTCAGATTCAGCATTATGTTAATTATAGTCCAGTTCTCCAGCAAGCTGAAGGCCAACTGTCTGGCAGTAGTTTGTGAAATACTTGGAAGGAGAAGACCAAGGAAATAAGTGTTAGGTGCTCACAAGGAGGCTGGGATGGTATGCGCTGGTCATTGCTTCTGTCCTTACCATTTCGTCATGGGAGTTTGGTACGGTGCAAATAACAAATTTTGGAAGCTTGAAAAAAATAGGTGTTTAATTTTCAAGTCTCTAGTGAATTGTGTCATGATTATATTTATTTTATTTATTCTTCTCAAGACAGGGTTTCTGTCTATAACTGTTCTGGTTGTCCTGGAACTGGCTCTGTAGACCAGGCTGGCTTCAAACTCACAGAGATCCACCTGCCTCTGCCTCCCGAGTGCTGAGATTAAAGGTGTGCCACTATACCCTATCCTCTGTAGTTTTGGTGAAAATACAAGTGAATTGTCCAACGCATTTTGTAATTATGGACAGAAATCTTTACAGTCTTGAGGTGAAGTGGTGTTTGAGGTCAAAAAC